GACCCGCATGCATGTCAACCGATGTCTCCGATGCTACCGTCCCTCGTGTCAGCTGAATTGCTTCCGACCCCAATTCAGTTTCTAGACAAACTACAAAGGGCACTAGAAATGTGTTCTCTTCTTCACCTAGGTTGATTTCTCATTATTTTTGTGTTAGCATGAGGTTCACTCATTAGCAGGATTTTTTTTTACAATAACTGACTACAACCGTTGCCTGAGGCTAGATGTTGAACAGGTTGCCAGAGATTTACGTGGAACTAAAACAGAATTGCCGTTGCATATATACCACCACCAGAGAGTGGGAGTTATGGAACTGGGGTTAAACGCACCTCTGACCTTCCTGTGGGCTGCTCAAGGGCATGGCACTCACATCTCCGGCATCCCCTTTTCTTCGGATTGAATCCTGTAATTTCCTCCCTCCGCCTCCGCTTCCCTGTAATCCAGTGTGGCCGCCTCAACGGGTCCAACTTCATTGCAGCACCTCCCGTTCTGATCCTCTTGGAGCAACGACAGGATTTACAGGATTTATGATACAGAATAAATCCAGTCAGAATAAAGCCAGCCAGCTTTATAACGCAAGTGATATTTATACGGAACAAAAGCATATCTTAAAATAATAAATGGCTGATGCTCCTGTCTCACGTGCAAGATGGTCACCCATTGTCCACAAGGATATCTGTGTAGCTCCAAAATACTTCCGCGTGACCAGCCCTGGCTTTTCAGACGGTGCCTTTCTGCCCAGCTCAAGGGGTTGCGGTTTCATTGACTTTTAAGTTTTGGTCTCTTCAGGCCTTTGAACAAGGTCAAACCAGGGTAAAAACTGAAAAGATCTGCATTACTTTATAATACGGGGAATTTGTATTAATTATGCTTTATTACTGTCAGCTCGTGCAGGGAGAAATCTTTAGTTCACCCATTTTTCTAGGAATCCAATCACGACCAAGCCCATTATTTTCTAAGTGTCATATGCACCCTTGACAGGCAATTCCCCAGTTCGTCACAGCACGTTAGCCGTTCTCATCCCTTCCACTTTGTTTATCCCTCAGTAGTACAGGCTTGCAAAGACTTCTGACAGAAATCTTTGGTTTCTATTTGACATTGGGAATTAACACACAGCAAGTCATCTTTTAGCACGTGTGCGCAAATGCTACAAATCCTAGATAAAGGTTTCTGCATTTCTGATTGAATTCTCTCTCCCCTCGAAGGCACTTGTGCCAGCTGTTTACCTGTTCCTGCACCGGTGTGATGCATGCATCTGCTACCCCACTATGAACCAACTTGACTGGATATTTTTCTCCTTCCTCGCTCTTATTGCATGGCAAGTATTTTTTCCTGTGCCCCTTCACTCAATTTTTGATGCGAAAGCGCTGATATCCATCAGGCGTAGCTTGATGTAATACTAGAAAAAATCTAATGCAGTCTTGGAAATGCATTCCCTAACAAAAGGGCATAATTTACGTATTGCCAACCGAGGTTATGCTGAATTCTTTATTTGATCATTGTAGTGTAGTGTCTGCCTTCGAATCGCACACGATCCATCATAACCTGCTGAGTGGAACCGGAGACCTTACACTTTTGCTTACTCCAGCTCATCACTACTTCTCAGCTACATAAAACTGCTTCTTTATTTATCCCAGTATATTCCTCGGTGACCGAGGCCACTTCATGACTCAGCAAATGGTGATAGGTTGAAACCTGAAAAAATGCGTCTTTCTAAGCACTGATGGCTCCCCCAAAAGGCTTTCTTCCGGAATCCTTGAGCTAACTCTGGAACTCAAGTTCCCCGACTTGACATTTATACAGGACTTTGCTATGCCAATACCTGGGGCCAGCGTTACTGTTAAGCCAACACTTCTGTCGCACAGCTACAGCCCAGGCACATCTCCTTCTGGGTCCATTTGTTTTTCAAATCTCACGTGATATTTTTAGTTTAGTACCATTAAAGCACAACGTTTATATGGGTCATTGGTTCCAGGGCAGCTCTACCAATAGCTTTCCCCAGCCGTTACTCTGATTTCTATTTCTATTTTTAAGTATCTGAGCACCATTCATACAGCTACTCCTCGCCTAACGTCGTAGTTATGTTCTTGAAAAATGCGACTTTCAGTGAAATGAAGTTAAGCGAACCCAATTACATCACAGTAGTTACCTACTAGCAGGTGGCGGCCGAACAACGTTATAACCAAACGCTGTGCAACTTTAAACGAGCGTGCTCTCTAATAGACCAGCAACGTAATAATGAAACAACGTTAAGTGGGATGATGTTAAGTGAGGAGTGCCTGTACTCTGGTGACAGGGACCAGGTAAGCATCTGAGCAGTTAGCTAAGATAGACATAATATATTTGTCTTAACTAAGGACAATGGAAAGTAGCTTAGTCACTGTTTGCATGTCAGATCCCTTTCCCTTACTCGTTTCATGCCCTGTCTATGAACATCGAAGTTGTCGGTACTGTGGTTTACCATGGGCACATCTACACAAGACATTTACTGCGCATTAGCATAACACTGCACAGTAGCACGATGGGCAAAAAGCACGCTAAAAGCCTACTGCGCAGTGTTATTAGGCTAAGGTACAGTAAGCGTCACAAAATAACTGTGCACCGGTAGTGCTAACTAAATGCGCAGTTTAAGGAAGTACTAAACTAAATGCGCAGTAAATTAAAGCACATTAATGAACATGTAGATGTGCCCCATGCTCAGTTTGTCCTTAGGTACCACCATAACACACAAAATATAAGGAACTGCTATTCTCAATGCTTGCTATTATTTATTGTTTGCAATACAGTAGTGCCCACATGCCCCAATCAGGCAAGCCACCCTACAGGGCCTGGCACAATAGGAACAAACAAGAGGAGATCGTATCTACCCCCAGAAGAGCGTATACAGCGAGAACATGTAAGGAGTGGGTATAGCTCCCAATAGAGACTACCGTAGGTAGGCACAGACGGACAGGAATTCACAGCTAAAAGATTTGCTGTGTTCTGGGCTCTTTCTTACTCCCCAGTGTCACTTTACACGAGGAGTGGTAAGCAAAGGGAAAGACGGTATCAGTCAGAACATGCTGCGTGGATACACAGTGTATAATGAGGTCGATAATAAGCAGCAGAAGTATGTACTTGGCAGGGTAGGAGTTGTTTTTGTTGATGGCAAGATAAGGTCAGTAATAGGTTCGATGGAAAAAAGAGAATGGAGCAAGATAGAAAGCTTGTGCAATTACTGAAGGACGACCAGTTGGGTGGGCTCTAAACAGCGAGGAGCATTTCTCTTAAGGAAGAGGACTGCAAACTGCCCAGAACCCTTGTGGAAAGTGGGGCATAGCATGAAGCAACATAATTTATGTTGGACAAACCCTACAGCCATTCCAAAGAACACTAACGGTTACAGGGACTTTGGAAAGGAAAATTTTATTAAGGGCCTTTACCCCTTATGCTGTAGGCTGCTCAAGTGTTGATCAGCTTGGTGCTGGCTTGGAGTTTGGAGCAGTCACATCTTAAGGCTAAAAATCTTCTCTGTCTCCCACCTGCACAGCTGCAACTTCCCACCAGAGGCTTGGTGAGCAGGGCCAGTGAGCCAGGACAGGCTTCTATCCCAATAACAGCTGTCATTGTCACCTGCCTCCCCTGCAGCCCAGTGCAGGCAGCATGCTAGTGGCTCACCATGATGAAAGAGAGCCTTCCTCTCCTCTTCTTCCCCACCCAAGGCTGCTAAATGCTCCCAGTCATGGCATGGCGCTACAGGAGGTAACCAGCAGAGCACCATGGTGCAATGCTTCCAGGCCAAGCAGTGATGGAGTTGTCAGCACCTTGCTGGGCTGGGCAGGAGAGCCAGAACCAGAGCCCCCTGCACAGCGCCCTCCGCATCCTTGGCACCCTCCCAAGCGGCTTTCCTCTTTCTCTCGTGCTGGGCTATGCTCTGCCCACCCTGCACCAGCTCCAGCTTTCTATGTTACTCCCCTCTCACTCCTTGCCAGCCTTGACTTGGCTCAAGCTGTCACCACCTTCCACTGTTTGCAGAAACACCATGTGGAGGAAGGACACTGCATCCTGGGATACTGGAGGACTTCAACTTGAGTAGCACAGCTGTGGAGAGTGGCCGCACCTTAATGGAACAGGAGCAAGGTTATGCAGATCAGAGAATCCTGCCCTGGAGTGGCGTAACTGAGCCACATAACGAATCCTATAAGCCACTTAACACGTGGCTGATCCAGGGGTTAAAACCTCCGGGAGCTGCCTAAAATTACCATGTAGCAAAGCCCTAAGATTGCAAAGGTGAGCCTCTGAAATTTAAGAAAGACCAGAATAAAAGGTGCCTGTGCTATTTAAATGTACCTTCCAGGGCACATATATCATGATATAGTTTTTGGTTATGTGACCATAGTTTACACAGGAGCCTAATTTCATTCAATGTATACAGAAGGTTTCCCATAAAAATGAATATTTGGCCTTGGCCTTGAAATCTGTAAAGCCAGTGCTAAATGCGATTTGCTGTAAAGCATATTAAGCAATTAAAAAAAAAATGCGATGAAAAAAACCACCACTTCTACCGATGGCAATTCCATCACTTCTTTGGCTGGTCACAGCAAAGTATGTATTTTAACATAACTACTTTCTCCCCACACTGACTACAGAATATGATCCCTCCTCTTTCTCTACATTAACTTAATTAACTCCAGGTACTTATGGGATATTGCCACATTATCCCTTTTTGGCTTATATGTAATGACTCATTAACTATGTATAAAATAAGCACATCCAAATAAGTCATTTCCTTTATATGGATGATACCAATTAATTTAGGACTGATAGATGATAACACAAAGGAATAGCACATTAAAATATTAAGCTCCTAATTAAGCATATGAAATACATGATCCTTTTATTTCTCATTCATCTGATGTTCCAAGGAACAGACATTCTGATTTCCATTAGAAAGGTCAATCGGGTTTCCTTAAACATTTAAGGACTAAATAAACATCTCTTTCTTCTACGCAGGAAGAGCAGTGCAAGCTTATCAAAATAAAGAGAGCCAAAACTGCAACTCTCAGCACAAAATAAGCTAATATTCCAGATAAGAATGTTCTTTTATACAAGTTTGGCAATTGCTGCTTAAGAATAAAAATGCCACTAAAACCTTTCTGCAGAGCTTTAAGGGATTTAGAGGTAAATGCTCCCGATTAGATAAGTTGTAGTTTAGTATTAAAGGGTATATAGATTACACGCATCTCTGCTTCATTCCCATTAATTTTAAAGCAAGAGACATTTAATTAGAGATGCACCCCAAGGAAAGATTAAACATTGTACACACTTCACCACTACTTTTTTGCTTCCCCATTTAACAGAAAAAAGGACAAACTTCTGCTACCTTTCCTCATGCTGAATAACTATGCAAACAGACTCACTAAAACCAGTCTAAGAGCATCTGAATCAAGCACTAAATGCTGACTCAAGCTGTGATTCATGCCAAGTTTTTATGCAAGAATAATGAGGCCACTCTA